TTTAAATTAAGTCATTTAAGAAAAGACATAGCATTTTACATACATAGCTAAAATTGTTATTTAAAAGAAAATCAATCGCTCAGAAGCTTCGACATAATGATCGTCATCCTTATTTGAATGGACGATCGTTTTTATAATTCTTAAAAATTTTTGTTGAAATCTGTATAGCACATTCCGTATCCATAACAAAGTAATAATAATATAATAATGTAATAATACAATAATACAATATTATAATAATATAATAATGCAATAATACAATATTATAATAATATAATAATATAATAATATAATAATATAATAATATAATAATATAATAATATAATAATATAATAGTATAATAATGTAATAATATAATAATATAATAATATAATACTATAATTGTATAATTATATAATATAATAATATTTACAAAAACGTTTAAATTTCCATAACATGCTTTTAAAAATCGAAGACAAATAATTGAGACCGATTACGCTCGTAAACCAAGTTCCTACGATCGAGTCCCATAATCTACACACGTTACCGAAGTCCCCAATTTGGAGGAAATTGTTAATCATCTTTCGGATACAGGACTGCCATTAAGAGACCAATTAATGGGCATTCGGCAGCCGAAGCGTCGAGACATAAAGTTACGATGTCTCGGAATGACGAGAAACCACCACGCGATGTGCGGGGCGTTCTGGTTCACAATGGCACAGGTGCAACGTCCAAACTGTTTAATTTTCACCGGTGCTTTCTACGCCTGTGTCACGGTGGACCGTGGACAACCGCGGCGTAGAAAGTGCAACGAGAGAGTGCATCGGTGAAAATCTAGGAATCGATTAACTAACGGCATGCTGTCATGCGGCGCTATTCCGCGAAGCTATATTCGCTCGTGACGATGATCCCCGCTTCGGGCTGAATCGACATTCATCTCGATCGTTGCGGAGCCAGCGATGCAGACACGAGCCTTTTCCTGGGATAACGTAAGCGCTCGCAGAAATAGCTTCGGCAAGGGACGATAATTGTTGAATGAAGCCGATTAGTCTGCTGCGACTGACATGCAAGTATTTGTCGGTAGATAAATTTTCATCTGGCGCACAATGCGTTCGCGGAAGGACCGGATCGTTCATCGGCGACAGCAATTGTTCACACTGTGAACTGTCCAATAAATGTCGCACAAAATCAGCTCGGCTGATTTAGCAATACCATAGACAGCCTCGATCATCTGACCTAATCAGGCGAACGTGAACGTTCGGATAAGAGAATTGTGCGGAATTACAATCGAATTACTCAAAGAGTTATGATTACAAACGTAATTTGATCACGTTGTAATTCGTAATTCAGAACGCCATTGCATTGAGTTAAAAAGCAATTCAATTACATTGAAATTCGTAATTTAGATCGTCATTCAATTAAATTACCAAGTAATTCAATTACATTGTAATTCGTAATTCAGATCGACATTGAATGAAATTACAAAGTAATTCAATTACATTGTAATTCAGGTCGCCATTGAATTAAATTACGAAGTAATTCAATTACATTGTGATTCGGATCGTTATTGAATTAAATTAAATTGTAATTCGTAATAAAGATCGCCACTTAATTGTATTATAAAGTAATTCAATCATATTGTAATTCGCAATTCAGAGCCATTGAATAAAATTATGAAACAG